GGCAGTGAGACTATTCCGTAGGATGCTACTAAGGTGGGGTGCCTGGGTGGCTCAGTCGGCTGGGCATCCGACTTCAGTTCAGGTCATGATCTCGCGGTTTGTGAGTTTGAGCCCCTCGTCGGGCTAAAAGGTGGATATAGGTCATTACACATTTGTCCCAACTCATAGAATGTACAGCACAGAGAGCCCTAACGTGAACAACGCACTTGGGGTGATAGTGATGCGTCAATGTGGGTTTATCACTTGTAACAAATGTACCAGTGTGGTGACAGGCAGCTTGCCCATGCGTGGGGACAGGGGTATGTGGGAACTCCGTACTTTCAGCTCAATTTTGCTGTGAACTAAAACTGCTCCAAAAAAGGAAGCTTGCTAATTAATAAAATATATCTCTGAGACCCCTATTGTGCAAAGGTGCTTTCAAATAAATGGGCGGGACTCCCGGAGCCCTTCCTGCCCCAAGCCTTACCTCAGCTTGGGTAACTCACCAGGTTGTTGGCCAACGCATTGGGACTCAGATCTAGCTCCCCAATCGTTTCGTTCACCTGGTGGATGGAACCAATAAGGCAGGCTGGCAGGTGAGTTTGCTAAGGAAATTTTCTGGGTGCTAATCATGCAGGAACAGGATGGGACTAAGCTGGCAAGGACAGTCCCTTACTCTCTCTGCTTAACTACTTTCTTTGCAAACATTCACACTTCTTTTATCATTTTAAATGAGTGGCTTTAGGCACCTGGGTGGCTCAGTCCCTTAAGCTTTGGACTTCGGCTCAGGTCATGATCTCACAGTCCATGAGTTCATGAGTTCGGGCCCCGCATCGGGCTCTGTGCTGACAGCTCAGAGCCTGGAGCCTGCTTCAGATTCTTTGTCTCCCTCTCTCTCTGCCCCTCCCCCACTCACACTCTGTCTCTCTCTCTCTCTCAAAAATAAACATTAAAATAAACATTAAAAATACTCTCAAAAATAAACATTAAAAAATTAAAAAAAAATAAATGAGTGGCTTTATCAATTCTAAATGAAAACTAACCACATTCTAGACACCTTGGAAAAACATAAAAAGAAACAGCCATTGTAATCTCAGTGCATGCCTACTTTAGGACTCGGACTTCTCTTCCATTCATTATCATGATCATGCTCCATAGAGCTAAATAATCTTCATAGTATTTTAAATGGCATTATATGAATCTACTTGGAGAACGTACTTTAATACACTTAATTGTTTCATGGCTATTGAATACTTAAGTTGTTCATCATTTTTTTGCAATTGTAAATAATGCTGTGGTATACACAGAGAGTTGTTTCCGTATTTTGGATTATTGCTTTAAGAGACATTTTCAGGTGAGGCATGGCTGGATCGGAGGGTATCTCAACCTTGTTTATCACTGTTGAAGTCTCTGCCTAGTTCAATGGCCCCTCTTGTCACCCTCTCTAGGTTTGCATTTCTTTTCGTCTTAGCCTCAACCGGTCTAGGATATATCCTTTGCAGAAGCCCCATAATCCTATCACTTCTCACTGCCTTCACAAAAAGCGGGGTTCACTCTTACTTCCATTACCCTCAAGGGTTCTTATAAACTGGAGGACACTTGACCAATGAAGACGCCAAGGAGGGACATGAAAATCATAGGAAGGGAAATGGGTTAGTTAGGTTGAGAGGAGTGTGGGATTAAGGAGGAAGAGGAGACATTAGAAAAAGGGCCAGGGAAGTGAGTCCCTGAAGCAGCCTCTGATGGGATCACTTGTGCTCATCTTGAGAAGGGTTTCTGAGAGGTGTAGAAAGCGAGGGGATACAGAGGGACACATGGTTTGGCTGGTAGCAGTGGGACTTGAAGGTCAATGGGCTCTTTATGAGATGGGACCATCTGGCGGTATTTATAACCTGAGAGGGTTATTTGCCGGATGAGCTCTAAGGTCCTCCAGAGATGGGGTTCTGCGGGTCCCTGGCATAGAGTTCAGAGTCACAAGTGAGATGTGGATCAATAAAGGGAGGGCTAGAGAAGTAAGATTCTGGAAGAGTCCAGGTGATGCCAGAGAGGGCAAACTCTGAGCCCAGGTAGGAGGCCTGGCAGGTGAGAAGTGAGGCCAATTGGAATGAGAACAATGAAGCTGGGTCTTTTTTTTTTTTTTTTTTTTTTTTGGTTAATGTTTGCTTATTTTTGAGACAGAGTGAGAGCAGCGGAAGGGCAGAGAGAGAGGGGGACACAGAATCCAAAGCAGGCTCCAGGCTCTGAGCTGTCAGCACAGAGCCCAACACGGGGCTCGAACTCATGAACCGTGAGATTGTGACCTGAGCCAAGGTTGTATGCTGAACCAACGGAGCCACCCAGGCGCCCCAACAAAGTTGGGTCTCAAGCTCACTTATCTGAGGGCCGAGGGCTTCACCATGACTTCTTATTTGCTACCTATAACTATAATTCTTTGGAAGACAGAAGATATTTCAACGAATATGTCAACAAATATTTCCAGTACTTCTTCCTCTGGGGCTCTTTCCAATTATCCTAGTAAAATAAATTCAAACCAAACAACCCTTCACAGTCTCAAATTCTTTTAGAGCACAGGTCGGGCTTAACTAATTGAAAAAAATCAACGAGCACATAAGGAAAGGAGCTAATAACGTGTGTCACAGACACAAGCCCTGGTTACAGGTCTGCAGCAGGTGTATTTGGTCTGGATTGTAGACGGCACCATAAAAGGATACAGGGTGGGTTGTCTTCCAGATTCTTCCTTGCGGCATTCTTCATCGCGTTCCGCGCAGCGAGGGAGACAGTCAGGTGCTCGTCTACTGGCACCATTGGCAAGGCAGTGACATTGATGGTATCTATGTTCCCGAAATAAGCCATGATCCAGTTTCTCGTAAACTGACAAACAGTACGTTTCCACTTAAGAATCTGTCATTTCCCACTCCGATCTTGTTCTCTGTTCAGCCAGCCTCCTGGAAATCACAAATACCATAGAACCACCTTAGAAAGCACAACCACGCTCGTCTGGTAAGCAGGGCTGATGGCAAGGTGCACGCTGCCTGCGACACGGGGGATAAAGGCCTTCATCTGACACGCCCGTCTTGACTGAGGATTTCAGACACATCAACTTTTTCGGGCCTGTCGATGTTCGCCCTGTTTGCCAAGAAAGCTGTTCTAGTTTTTACAGTAAGGAGACTAGAGTGTTGGAAAGGCCAGGGCTCCAGAGCACCCAGCAAATCAGTTTCCAAATCAGAAAGGAAATCAAATTCCTGTCTCTCTGAGGCTCATCTGCAAAGTCAGAGATTTGGATTAGATTCCTAAGACCCTTTTCCGGCTCTCAGCTGCTCTGATTCTATGATACTGGGTCTATCTCCTCAGCATGAAGCTGGTGATCTACCTGAGGCTTTCTGCCCCCTCCCAGAATGCTGGCCCCATCACTACTCTTCCTCCTGCCTTCAGAACACTCCGGCTGGACTGCCCTCCTGGATCCTTGCTTATTAACCAGGAGTTCATTCTACTATTTGTGGATCTTCCATATCCTGAGCCTGGTGGCATAGGCCTGTTTCTAAGGAAGTAAAGACTCAGATCGGCCCTCAAGAAGCTCATACATAATGGAAGGAGAGAGGAAAGGTAGTTTAGTGGGAAAATTAACCAAGGCCCCTCTCATCACATCCCCTCTCCCTCTTCTTCAGTTGATGCCTTCTGCTCTGCCCTTTTCTACGCAACCGCTCATCCTATACGCCCGCCCCTCTGAAATTGCTCCTCGTCCCTGCTGTGCTATGCTGCTGGCCTCTATGCCTTTACACACGCAATTCCATCTAGCCAATGCACATCCCAGGTGACACATCTTTTAGAAAACCTTCCTGAATTACTCTAGGCCATTAGTGACCACCCCTCCTCTGGAAAGTTCAGGATTCTGCTTTCATCTCTCCATTACAGCACTTACAATTCTGAACGGGAATTATTTGCTTCCACACCTTTTTCCATCAGGCAAGTTGCTCCCTAGGGGTTCGGCACACTCAATATTTGATTCCATTTGAGACTCATTCACCACGCTTCTTTCTAGTCCAGAGAAGCTGTCCATCAGGGCGTGGGGCTGTCCCAAGTCAGCTGGATTGCAGGAAAGGCTGTCCCAGGCCCACGTCAATATTACTTCCTCTTTCCTGCTCCCAGCCATAAGCCATGTAGGCAAGGGGGAGAGGGGTAAGGTGGAAGCAGGTGCACTGCAGGGCTCCTTGTTTTCCTCCTACTCACTCCCCAGCATGACTGGAAAACTATAGCATGTTCTCTGAAAAGCAGGCTTTTAGGGCAACCCTGTCAAGAAGGCTCTTGCTTTAACTTAACATTCTTACTCATGCCTAATGGAAGAATTGACTATTACTATGCTCCTTAAAAGGAATGTTTAAGATACGCACGCCGTTGTCTTCTGAATTTTCCATCATACCCTTTCAGGTATTCTCCGAGATATGACAAGTCTTTACCGTCACGACTTGGGGAGGAAAAACGGATGGGGGAGACAATGAACTTCATGGAATGAACAACACTGCACGGTGTTGGGGCAGGAGAATAGCAAACGTTCTGCTCTCATGTGGCAAGTATTCTGCCAGCCGAAGTGCGAATGCCCTCTGTTTAAAGCTAACACGTTAGGGGCGCCTGGGTGGCGCAGTCGGTTAAGCGTCCGGCTTCAGCCAGGCCACGATCTCGTGGTCCGTGAGTTCGAGCCCCGCGTCGGGCTCTGGGCTGATGGCTCGGAAGCCTGGAGCCTGCTTCCGATTCTGTGTCTCCCTCTCTCTCTGCCCCTCCCCCGTTCACGCTCTGTCTCTCTCTGTCCAAAAAATAAATAAGAAACGTTGGAAAGAAAATTTTTTTAAAAAAAATAAAGTTAACATGTTAAACAATTTTAAGCATGTTAAATACGTTAAAACAATGCTGACTTTGGAATCAGGATTCAGGTTTGCCTTCAGCAATGACGGACTACTTACTGAGTGCCCGACACAAGCCAGCGGTGTTCTTCCTGGAGACAGGGTGGTGAGCGAAACCAGACTTGCTCCCTGCTCTAAGGGACTTCTGTCTGCCAGGGGAGACATGCGGTAATCAAACAATTATATAAATAATTGTGAATGATAACTGTGACCACTGCTCTGAAGGAACATACGCAGTGCTGTGAGATGAGCTGAGATTACGTAAGGATGTAGGCAAGCTTGGAGGAAGAGCAGGAGTTAACTAGATAAAGGGGATGGGGAAATACCATCCAAGCAGAGGGGAGCAAGTGTAGAAAGGCAGGAAAAGGCGAGACCTGTGCATCGCAGTAGCCACTAGCCACATGTGACAACTGAGCCCTTGCAATCTGGTTAGTGTGACTGAAGAAATGAAATTTCAATTTTAGTTAATTTAATTTTTTTTAATGTTTATTTATTTCTGAGACAGAGAGAGACAGAGCATGAGTGGGGGAGGGGCAGAGAGAGAGGGAGACCCAGAATCTGAAGCAGGCTCCAGGCTCTGAGCTGTCAGCACAGAGTCCGACGCGGGGCTCGAACTCACAGACCATGAAATCATGACCTGAGCTGAAGTCGGGACGCTCAACTGACTGAGCCACCCGGGCGCCCCCGATTTTAGTTAATCTAAACTTAAAAGCTGAAACAGTATCAATGTAAAAGCATTGATCATATGTTGAAATGATAATATTTGGGATATACGAGTTAAATAAAATGTTCGAATCCATATAACCTGGTTTTTAAAAATCTTTAAAATATGGCTACTAGAAAATTCTCAATTACATACGTGGCCCACATTATGTTTCCATTGGGTAGTGCGGGATTAGACTGTGCAGGTCTTGGTTCTAGGACATGGAACTCTCCCCTTTTTAATACACTGAGGTGTAGTTGGAAGAAAATTGCACTTGGAGCCAGAGACCCATGGGTTCTGCCCCTTATTGGATGGATGGACTGGGTGCACTCGCTAAGCACCCAATAAACATCCCTTGAATGGTTCTGAGTGTCTTTATTTTTCAAATGGAACCAATAGTTCACTGTTAGGACTTCAGGGGATCTGGAGTTGATTCTCGAGTAGTTCTCTGCCCTTGCTCACTGTGCCACCTTGAAGCGGTCCCTGGCCTCAGTTTCCCCTGCTCGTAAAAGCTGATGAGAGTCAGGAAACTGCAGTCTTTGGAAGTGGGCAGGGCGGATCATCGTCCTTCTTCTGTGCGTCTTACCTGAAGACATAGGCGAAATCCGACGAACTTGGGGCCGGTTCCGCCACGGGTCCCTCAGGGGACCCCGCAAAGTTCTGGATGGGACACCCGACATCCACCAGGAAGGGGTGCCCTTTGCTTTGTGCTCGGGGAGGAAGAGGAGGAGGAGGGGCGTCGGGGAGAGGTCCATTTTGCTACTGTGAGTCCTGGCGTTCCCCAGGCAACGCCAGGCGCAGTCACCACTGCCACCCTTCCCACAACAATGGAACCGTAGTGAGCCACCGCTGCGTCCGCGAGACGCCGTTACCACAGTGATGGTCCCGGGTGGTCGGGGAGACCAGACCAATGGGCTTGTGGGGAGGGAGAGTGTAGTTCCTCGTCCCAGCCTATCGCACGGGGAATGGAAATGACTCCAGGAGACATTCCCCCCCCGTGGATTGTCTTCAATGTATCGAGGGCAGTCCTCAAGTGTTTCTGATGCTTCGCGGAGGCTCCCGTTGGACACCCCGCCGCGCCGGGCACCCCCCTATCTCTCGGTGGTGGAGGCCGGGGCGGGGCTGCGCGTGCGCGCGCTGGTGGGGGGCGGAGCATCCCAGGAGCCGTGGTAGCGGTGGGTGACGCGAGCCTCTGCAGGCGGTTTCCGGCAGGTATCTGGCTGCCTTTTGTCCCTGGCTCCTGGGGCGCGACTGTTCTGAGCCTGGCGTCGCTCCAGGGCCCGAGGAGGGATGGGACGCCCGGGCGTGCTCCAGGGGACCCGGGGCTTCCCCGCCGCTGGAGCGGCCCGAGGGCGCGGCACAGGGGGCGGAGGCTGGGTTCATCCCAGGCCGGTCTCCGCACTTCTCGGAGCGGGTTTCCTCGGTGAGAAACCGGGGTGGTAGTTCCTCCCCGTCAACCGGCTGGCCGTGAAGAGGGTTAGATGAAGGCGTGCGTGTGAACGTTTGTTCTCTACGGCTAGTTGAGTCCAGCAGCCCCGGGTGGCAGAGTATCTGCGCGGCGCGGCTCTGAAATCTTTGAGGGACGCATATCTCTTCGAGAATCCAATGAAAGTCAAAAACTGCCCCCTCACCTTCTTGTTAGGTAAAAATAGGATAGTGTATGTTGTGGTCCATGGCAAACTGTAAAGCCTTGCCCAGTGATGAAGTGATTATTGTCATCGGCGCAGAGGAGTAGACCTTACTTGAAACCCAATTCCACCACCTTCCCACCGCGTGATTGGGAGCGAGTTACTTTACTTCTCTAAGCCTCCGTTTTCTGATCTGTAGACTGGGACATACTTCACTTCATCTATTTCTCAGGGTTGTTGTGAATATCAAATGCTCACAGCTTTTTATAAACACCAACACACTATAACAACCTGTAAGTGGGTAACTGTTGTTATCTCTGATTACAAATAAAGAAGCCGGGGGGGGGGGGCAGAGAAGATAAGTTCTGGGGTCCCACTGGGGCTGAGTGGCAGAGCCATGACTGGAACCCAGATGCTCTTCCTTCACTTCCTTAGAGCTGAGCCCTCTCTCCCCAGGGAGTTTCACTAGACAGCTGCCTTGGGCCACGGGGGTCAGCTGGAACTTCTGGGTCCACACTAATGTTCCAGGATCCTAGGGACTCAGCCAAAGTTGTTCGTGGATTATTGGTACTGACTTAAAAGGCAGCTCCACCAGACCCTTCCTTTTCCTCATCTGTAATATATTGATGATCGTTCTCTGCTGAAGGGTTATGAGAATGGATGAGGTTGTGAGGGAATTGTTCCTGGTAAAACCCGGAGAAATAAAGTAACTTGGCTAGGGTTTAGCAGGCAATTGAGGGGCAGAGCCAGACCTGGAACTCCAAGTTGCGTCCAAGTGATACACTCAGGCATGACTGGAGGCTTTGCAAGAACAACTTGACTAAGTATTTTTCCTTTTTCAGATGTCTCCAGATGCTTGGAAGGGCAGGTGCTGCCTTTTAGCTGTTTTTTGTTCTTTTGGTTTTTTTTCCATAATTAACACATGAATATATTACCATTGTAGTAATTTATTAAATCCAGGAATTTTTTCCTTTAATCTAATTTGATATTATAACATGGAATTGCCACCACTTGACCATTTTTTACCTATAAAATGACAATGTCACTTAAGCCAGCCATCCCATTCCCCTTCCCACATTAAGCATATTGAGCAGTTTGGTGTATCTTTCCAGATTTTATTTTGTTTTATTTAATTTATTTAAGAGAGAGAGAGAAAGTGCATAAGCAGGGAGAGAGAGGGGGAGAGACACAGAAAGAGAGAGACTCTTTTTTTTAAAAAAAAATTTTTTTTCAATGTTTATTTATTTTTCTTGGGACAGAGAGAGACAGAGCATGAACGGGGGAGGGGCAGAGAGAGAGGGAGACACAGAATCAGAAACAGGCTCCAAGCTCTGAGCCATCAGCCCAGAGCCCGACGCGGGGCTCGAACTCACGGACTGCGAGATCGTGACCTGGCTGAAGTCGGACACTTAACCGACTGCACCACCCAGGCGCCCCTAAAGAGAGAGACTGTTAAGCAGGCTCCACACCCAGCACACAGCCAGACATGGGGCTCAATTCCATGACCCTGACATCATGACCTGAGCTGAAATCAAGAGTTGGATCCTTAACCAAGTGAGCCACCCAGGTGCCCCGATTTTCTTCTATTTTTTTAATGTGCACACCTACATTCTTGCCTTTTTTTTCTTTTATTTCTGTCTTCTCTTATACCATCATAGTATACACATTGTTCTGTAGCTTGCTTTTCTTTTTTTTTAATGTTTATTTTTGAGAGAGAGACAGAGTGCAAGCAGGGGAGGGACGGAGGGGGGTGGATAGAGGATGCGAAGTGGGCTCCCTGCTGACAGCAGAGAGTCTGAGGTGGGGCTCGAACCCACAAACCGTGAGACCATGACCTGAGCCACAAGTCAGATGCTCAACCTACTGAGCCACCCAGGTGCCCCTGCAGCTGGCTTTCTTAATGTTAGAGTATGTTGGGTTCTTTCCAGGTCAGTCCATATACAGCTGCCTCGTTGTTTTTACTTGCCCTGTAGCATTCCATTGTAAGAACACAACAATGTATTTGGCTGTACCAACCATTGGTAGACATTTTGGATTGTTTCTGTTTTTTCACTGTTACCAACAGTAGGGAATTTTTTTTTTTTTAAGTTTTTAAATTTAGTTGGAGAGACAGAGTGTGTGGGAGAGGGGCAGAGAGGGAGAGAGAATTCCAAGCAGGCTCTGAGCTGCCAGAGAACCATGAGACCATGACCTGAGCTGAAATCAAGAGTCAGATGCTTAACTGACTGAGCCACACAGGCGCCCCAACAGTGGGGAACATTTATCTGTACCTGTCCAATTCTTTGTGGAGGACAAACTTTTAGAAGCAAATTTGCTGGCCAAAAAGTATACACATTCAAAATTTTGCTAGGTTGAAGCGCCTGGGTGGCTCAGTGGGTTAAGCACCCGACTCTTGATTTCGGCCCAGGTCATGAGCTCACAGTTGTGAGATTGAGCCCCATGTTGGGCTCTGTGCTGAGCATGGGGCCTGCTTGAGATTCTCTCTTCCTCTCTCTGTCCCTACCTTGCTTGTGCATGCATTCTCTCTCTGTCTCTCTCAAAGAATAAATAAGTGAACTCTAAAAAAAGAAAATAAAAATTTCCTAGCTTTTGCCTAACTGAAAAAATTGTAGCATTTTATGTCTCCACCTAGAGAAAATGAAAAGTGTGGGTGCCTGTGTGGCTCAGTGGGTTGAGTGTCTGACTCTTGATTTGGGTTCAGGTCATGATCCCAGAGTTGCGGGATGGAGCCCCGCATCGGGCTCCACAGTGGCGTAAGGTCGACTCATCTGTTTGTACCCATGACTTTTCCTGACCCTAGGAGAAGGGAGCATTGGCCTTTCCTTCATCCGGCCAAAGATGCCTCTCTTTGGAAATACGTTCAGTCCCAAGAAGACGCCCCCTCGGAAATCTGCTTCTCTCTCCAATCTGCATAATGTGAGTATCACTACTGGGCCCATCCCGGTGTGCAGTGTGGCTGAAACATCAAGCCTGGTCCCTGATGGAAAGTGTCGTCCTCCAGAGGCACCCTTGTAAGGAAGACATCCTTCTAATTCATATTATTGCTATTGCTAAAAACCTTTTTAACTCTTGGGGCTCCTGGCTGGCTCAGTCGGAAGAGCATGTGACTCTTGATCTCAGGGTTGTGAGTTTGAGCCCCATGTTGGATGTAGAGATTACTTAAATAAATAAAATATTTTTTTTGGTTGTTTTTTAATTTTAGAAAGAGAGAATGCAAGCAGGGGAGAGGGTCAGAGGGAGAGAGGAGAGAGAATCCCAAGCAGACTCCATGCTCTGTGGAGCCCAATGGGGGGCTCAGTCCCACAGCCCTGGGATCATGACCCCAGCCAAAATCAAGAGTCAAATGTTCAACCAACTGAGCCACCCAGGCATCCCAAATACATAAACTTAAAAAAATTTTTTTAATGTTTGTTTATTTTTATTTTATTTTTAATTTTTTAAATCTTTAATATTTTTTTCTTTTTTTTTAATGTTTATTTTTGAGACAGGGAGAGACAGAGCATGAAAGGGGGAGGGCCAGAGAGAGGGAAACACAGAATCTGAAGCAGGCTCCAGACTCCGAGCTGTCAGCCCGGAGCCCGACGCAGGGCTCGAACTCACGGACTGTGAGATCATGACCTGAGCTGAAGTCAGACGTTTAACTGACTGAGCCACCCAGGCACCCCTAATGTTTGTTCATTTTTCAGAGAGAGAGCACAAGCAGAGGAGGGGCAGAGAGCGAAGGGGGCACAGAATCCGAAGCAGGCTCCAGGCTCTGAGCTGTCAGCACAGCGGGGCTCGAACTCACGAACCGTGAGATCATGACCTGAGCCGAAGTTGGACACTTAACTGACTGAGCCACCCAGGTGCCCCCAAATAAGTAAACTTTAAAACAAAACCAAAAATGGGGTGCCTGGGTGGCTCAGTCTTAGGTTAAGTGTCCAACTTCCGCTCAGGTCATGATCTCGTGGTTTGTGAGTTCGAGTCCTGCATCGGGCTCTGTGCTGACAGCTCGGAGCCTGGAGCCTGCTTCGGATTTAGTGCCTTCCTCTCTCTCTGCCCCTCCTCCCCTTGTGCTCTGTTTCTCTCAAAAATAAATAAACGTTAAAAAGAATTAAAAAACAAGAAGAAAAACCAAGAACAAGAAGATTTTTAAGTCCTGTTTGGAAATCATTGTCAGAGCGTGTTCAAGAACCTAGTAAGACAGTCAATCTCATCGTGATTCGGGCTCCAAATGACACTAGCCAGCTCGCCTTCAGTTTATTCCCAGGACTTAGCCAAGAATCCATTTTAGTTGTGTCTAAGAATCATACTCATTCTCAAAGGATGATGTTCTGCCACCGTTAGTGTCATTTAAGGCTGTGTGGAAGCTCTGGACAGCAGCTCCTCAAGGGCGGGGCTGGTCACATTCACCTTGGAATCCCTCGGCCTAGTCCTGGCGTGGTGTGGCTGCTGAGTGAGTCGTAGAAACTTTGAAAACCATGTTACAGACCACCTATGACTGACTACTGGTTGAGTGTTAGCATTTCATGCCTTTTTTGTGACCTGTAGCGCCCCATGGTGAGCAAGCGATCACCTTGGGGCTTATTAACCTTTAAAAAGGATTTTCTACTTTATTAAAAATGTATGGTAGGATTTCTTAAAACCGTTAAGTGCCAAGTAGACGTCAAATAATTCAAATTTCGATATATGTAGTTTTTCTAGAAAACCTGTATCTTACAATAAGGTGGGACGTTTCTTCCCTCTTAGAGTTTAAAAGGTTTCGTTGTGGGGCGCCTGGATGGCTCGGTCGGTCAAGCAGCCAGCTTCAGCTTAGGTCATGATCTCAACGGGTTTGTGAGTTTGAGCCCCACGTCGGGCTCTGTGCTGTCAGTGAGGAGCCTGCTTCGGATCTCCGCGCTCTCTCTCTCTCTCTGTCTCTCTCAAAAACAATAAGTAAACATTAAAAAAAAAAGTAGGGGCTCCTAGGGGGCTCAGTCAAGTGAGCGTCCGACTTTAGTTCAGGTCATGATCTCATGGTTCGTGAGTTTGAGCCCCACATCGGACTCGCCGCTGTCAGCCTGTCAGCGCAGAGCCCACTTTGAATCCTCTGTCCCTTCCCCGCTTACATTCTCTTCTCTCAAAAAAAATTTTTTTTTAATTTATTAAAATAAATAAAAGTTTTTGTTGTTTTGTGCCTTATTGGATTTTCTGACTTTTAACAAAACGTTACGAAGTGTGCGAGGTAAGGATTAGAAAAAGGAAGTTAGCCGCTGGGATACAAATACAGTTAGCAGGAGAGTCACTAGGACTGGGGTCCCCCGTGTGCTTCCTGAAGCCTCCCTGCAGTGTCTCATCCACAGCTGGACCGGTCAACCCGGGAGGTGGAGCTGGGCCTTGACTATGGAACCCCCACTATGAACCTGGCAGGGCAAAGCCTGAAGTTTGAAAATGGCCAGTGGATAGCAGGTGGGCTGATTTCTTGCCGTTCTGTCCAGCAAGATTGTGGAAAGGAAGCCCCCACGTAACTAACTGCTCGTTCTGTCCTTCCCCAGAGATGGGGATTAGCGGAGGTGTGGACCGGAGGGAGGCTCAGCGCCTACGCAGGCGGAACCAGCAGTTGGAGGAAGAGAACAACCTCCTGCGGCTGAAGGTGGACATCCTGCTGGACATGGTGAGGAGGGTGATGGGGAGGGGCGCGTAGGCTTTCCTTTTGGGGAGGCTCCACGGAGAGTCATTCCATCCAGCTGATTCCTTTGGAATGCAGTTTGCCCAGGTAAGTTGCTTTGAATCCAAAGATACAAATTTTTTTTTTTTCACATTTATTTATTTTTGAGACAGAGCATAAACCGGGGAGGGTCCGAGAGAGAGGGAGACACAGAATCCGAAACAGGCTCCAGGCTCTGAGCTGTCAGCACAGAGCCCGACGCGGGGCTCGAACTCACGGACCGCGAGATCCTGACCTGAGCCGAAGTCGGACGTCCCACCGACTGAGCCACCCAGGCGCCCCTGAATCCAAAGATATAAATGAGAGAGCCCCTACTCTCAGGGCCTCACTGTCTCGCAGGGAGATGGACAAGAAACAAAATGACAGTGCCTGGGGGCAAGAGTAACAATTGGAGTGTGCGTAGGGCCTGGCACCAGCACAAGCAAAAGTAATTCTATCCAGTCAGGAGGGTGTCACAGAAAGGGATGTTTGAATTGAATGTAGACGGACCAAGGGAGGATTGGACGGTGGGAAGAGGGCATTCCAGGAAGAAGGACCGTCTGCTCGTGGCCCGAAGTTGTCCCATATCCAGCGGGCATTAGTGAGTGTCAGACCTGCCAAGGGGCCCGCTCTGTGCTAGTGTCGGTTTCCTGTGGCTGCTAAAAACCCTGCGGGCTGTTGGGACTGGGGGTGCCGGTGAAAGTTGTGAAAGTTGGCCGGGAGGCAGGCGCGCCTCTGCTGTCACGGTTAAGAGCAGGCGTTCTGGAGCTAACCTGCCTGGTTCCTTGTTCGGCTCCACCACTGGCCATGTGACTTCAGCGTGTTGTTTACCTGCCCCGTGTGAAGAAACTTAGTTTCGTTGTCGAATAGGCACAATGCTAGAATCTGCCTCATGCTGAGTTAATCACACAAGCACCTGCAATAGTGTATTGCTCAGAAGGGCCGCTCTTATTTCAGGGTAAGCCGACCTCCACTCTGGAGAGTAAAGTTTCTGTCCCTGTCTTGAATGTCTTCCACCTTCTACTCAGGGGCTTTCTCAAGCCCCCTGAAAGACCCTAGTAAGAAAAGTGGCATTCTTTTTGGGGCATTTTTTTCCCCCGATCACCATTATGGGAGCCACAGCTCAGAAGCTACTCAGACTCTTATTTTTTTAGCCTTAGAATGGTCCATTATGTGCCTTTTTCATCCCCTGAGGCCTGCCGTCTTCAAGGCAGTGAACTTGGTGCAATCCTAGGTGACCAAAATGTGGAGAGGGTGGACTGTGATTAAGTACCGGAGGCCCTGGGTTGTCAGGGGGTTGCATTCTGCCCGGGTACAAAGGGGTTCCCCTCGTGGGGGCCGTCAGCGGCGTGTGAGGGTACGGATGCTCTCCCCACCGCACAGAGCTGCCCTCGCAAACCTGCAACAGCCCCGGAAGGTCCTTCTTGGTTAACGGTCCGCTGCCTCACTTTCAGCTCTCTGAAACCACCGCCGAGTCCCACTTGATGGAGAAGGAATTGGAGGAACTGAAAAGCACCAGCCGCAGGAGGAAATGAAGACCCTGAAGACATTCGCTAGGAGGAAAGGGAGAAGCCCACCGATCAGAGGAGGTGGATGGGGCTGAGGGGTTTTTCTAGCCGAACTAGTGGCCCAGAGTGTCCTATCACGGGGCCGGAAGGCACCGGCCCCCTCGGTTTGGCAGCGGGAACACACTGGTGGAAGCCAGGACTCCAGGCCAGGGCGGTCCTAGGAATGAGCACTGGGATGCTGTCTAGTCACTCCACGTACGAATGCGCCTTCCCAGGTTCGCCCTCACCGGACTGATGCTGTGGCCAAAGCGGCTGGAGTTCATTGTCTCCCCCCTCACGCTGGGCTGGTGTCCGGGGTGTGGCACCAGTTCTAAAGAGTCCTGCCTCAGGGCCCTTGGATGAGCAGCTCCCCTGGTCCTCCGCGCCCCTCCCCCCTCCCCCGGGCCTACTCGCTTCATCCTTTGAAGAATGCTCAGCCCCCAGATCCACAGCCTCTCCTGGCCGCAGCTTGTCAGTGGCCAGCACCAGCCTTCCACGGGCAACACTGCATTTTTGTGCTACTTTCCTGTTTACACGTTTTTCTGAAAATTAAATGCCAGTACGTAATCTGTGTGTGGCCAAAGTGACTGAAAAATGAAAGCAGCAGTTCTTGAAGAAGTACATAGAGCCTGGAGTCGAAGCTTCTGTTTCGCCGTCCAGAGACCGAATTTTTGAGTTGTGGGGAAACGCCACCACGGCAGGAGAGGCGCTCCAGCTTCCCGGGCATCGGCAGAGGCCGACCTGGAACAGAAGCGGTGTCCCTGCCCAAATTCTGCTGCAGCCCTTCAGAGATTTGCCACCAGCCTGGACCTGGCAGGGACCGAGCGGTCGGGGTGGGAGGCTGCATTCCTAGAGTGGGAATTTGCACCCACGTCCGTGTGAGCTGCTCTGGTTGGAGGAGGGAGTCAGTGAGAGGGAACCCAGCTCCACAGTTAAAGGGGAGGGCGCCAAGACGCGGACAGAGTCCAGGGCTTTAGACTGGGGATGGCCACTATGGTCAATAATTTCTGAAAGCCGGTGACTTGCCTAGGACAGGCCTCAGCACTTTGCTCCTGCTCATTTCTTCTGCTCAGCCCCGCGAAGCAGGGACCATCAGCACGTGTCCTTGCAGGTAAGGAGCCAGACTCCAGGAGGTTCAGAAACCGGTCCGGGGTAAGGAGCCAGACTCCAGGAGGTTCAGAAACCGGTCCGGGATCGCACAGCAGAAGCGTGGGAGCCTGTGGACTCCTAGTTCCTGGCGAAAGGGAGGGGCCGGGTGGGGCACAGCCTCTGTTGGAGGCTGCTGTCCACAGCCCACCCTTAGGAACAGCTTTAGGGGAGACGGATAGAAGCTCCAGCCCATAAACCTTACTTTCTGATAGGAGAGAACGCTGAAAAAATTAGGGGAGGTTACAAATACGTGTGGGATTTAAGTCTCCAGGTGCAGATATTGGGAGCAGTTGGGGGTTGGCATTTCCTAGGGCAGCATCGTTGGCAACCACTTCCTGAGTGCCTTTGGTGCCAGACAGCCTGTTGCTAATTCTCAGGATTCAAGTGTGTCATCGTCCCCTGCTCTGAGATGAAGAAACGAGTCCGGCAAGGTGACACAGCTGGAAGGGACGGAGCCCAGGCTGAAACCTTGGGAATCATGAGGGGCAGGATTGGGTGTCCGTGATGTGGGTCCCCCTCTGCACCCCCACTGGTGCCGGAGGGGGTTGGAATCGCTATGTGGGACCATTCTGCAGTGAAGGAGGACTTTTCATTTGTTCAATGTTTATTTTTGAGAGAAAGAGAGTGCAAGTGAAGGGCAGAGAGAGAGGGAGACACAGAATCCGAAGCAGGCTCCAGGCTCCCAGCTGTCAGCACGGAGCCTGACATGGGGCTCAAACCCACGAGCTGTGAGATCATGACCTGAATCAAAGTCGGATGCTCAACCAACTGAGCCACCCGGGAGCCCCAAGAAGGACTTTTATTTTGAGTGAAAAGGCAAATAAGCCATTGGTGGGTTTTGAGCAGAGGAGTGTGACGATCAATTTTTTTTTTTTTTTTTTTTTAATCCTCTGGCCAGATCCTCTGCCTTCTGTGTGGAGAAAACAGACTGAAGGGGGCCAGGCTGGGACAAGACAGGTGGCAGGAGAGAAGGTGAAGTGGTCAGATTCTGGACTGAATTGAAGGTGGCACCCACCAGTGTTTGGTGTTTTTCCTCGCTGAGGTGCTATATTCTTTCAAGTCCCTACCTTCCTTTTTTTAAGGTTTTATTTTTAAATAATCTCTACACCCAACAGGGGGCTTGCACTCATAGCCCCGAGCTGAAGAGTTGCACACTGCACCGACCGAGCGAGCCAGGCACCCCCTCAAGTTCTTATCTTTCTAGTCAGATCCATCCTTCAGGTTCTGGTTAAAATTCTTCCTCCTTCGAAGCCTTTATTAACCAAATCTGCTACTTGGGGGACACCCAAAGAAATAGTACTGTCTACTTGATGGTATCCCTTGTGATCTACAGCAACTTCTGGGACTTTCTGGGCTGCGTGTCCGGTTAGGGGGAGCTGTTACTGAGGAGCTTTGCGAGAGCTCTGGGGGCCTGAGGGAGCAAGTGCAGGATTAGGGGCAATCAGAGGAAGTGGTACAGTTTGAGGCCTCACAAGGGGCCCCCACCTGCACTATCGCACAGATAGGGGCTGATGGGTATTTTTTACGGGAGGGGCTTCCAGCTTTTCTAGGATTCCCAAAGGGATCTGTGCCCGTCCATTGACCCACATAAAGAACTGTTACCAATTTCAAATTCTGATGGGATGGAAACAGGAAAGACGGAAAGTGTGGACTTGAGGGATGGGGTAGGAGAGGACCTGGAGGCTGGGGTTCTAGAACACCCCATCTCCTTCTCCATCCGGGTGGCAGAGTCACTCTGTGCCTGCATGGGGCATCCACACTCACTCGTTAGCACCTGTACTTGTGCGTTACTCTTCGACGGTGACCCCTGGCCTGGCATCGTCCTCACCCTATCTTCTTTGCTGATTCTGAGCAGTTCTCCTTGAAGCCTTCAGTGAAGCCACCCTTCTCCGATCCTTCTTCTTCCTCTCCAGCAGCTCCTTGAACCTCATGAGGTGGGGGAAGAAGGTCCCCCCCCCCTTTTTTCCCCTGATAGTTCTGCTTTTCTGCTTGTCTTTAAATTTTCTTCTATTGTGGCAAAATAACAAATTTACCATCGTAACCATTTTTAATTCTACAGCTCAGCAGTACTGAATACATCCATCGCGTGCCATCATCACCGCTGTCCCATCTCCGGACACTTCAGCCTGTAAACTGAAACCCTGTACCCATCAAACAGTGACTCTCCGTTTTGTAACTGAACCCAAGTCCGTGTGCCCGATGTGCAGCAAAGCTGATCGTTGAGATAGATCTCTAGTGGGCAAGGAGGCAAGAGGTTTTTCTCGAGGCAGCCACGTGAGGAGTTGGGAAAATGAGCCTCAAGTCGGCCTCCCTGAAGCAGGATGGCCAGGAATTTTTTAAAGGCAAGTAGAAAAGGGTGTGGGTAAGGGGAAGGAGAGAGGAGCTTTGTGACTCAAAATCAGATAAAGGAAGTTAGGAGGTAGGGGAAGGTTAATTTCATTTTGTTGGGCTCCAAGGGGAGGTCAGTGTCCTGACTGTTCTAGCTGGCTTCTTGACGAAACCCTGAGTTCCTGTAAAACGACTAAATTAACCACTCGGTCATCGTGGCATGACTATTATCGTACAGGAACGTGGTGGCAGACAGCATTCTGAGCACCCCCAAGCAGGTTTGGGGAGAAGTTGCAGCTGCCTTGGCTGCCCTGTTAACTCTTTGGTTATGGGTTTCTGTTTCCTCTCCCCCAGACCCCGGCAACCACCTGTCTACTGTCCGTGATTTCACTGTACCTTTAAATGTCTGATCCCACAGGATCCTGGCCTTTGTTTTCCCTTCTCACTCTGCCTTTTCTAGACCATCTCATCTGTTCCCAGGGCTCTGAACACTCTGCACGGCATGACTCCCTTTTTTCTTATCCCTTTGCAGAGATAAAATTACTCCCAAGGTTTTTTTTATTATTCTTAAACATAGGTGTTTTTTTTTTAAAAATGTTTAACGTTTATTGTGGGAGAGATAGAGTGAGTGAGTACATGGGCAGAGAGAGAGGGGGAGAGAGAGAGAGATCAAGCAGGCTCCACACTGTCAGCACAGAGCCCAACGTGGGGCTCAAACTCAAGAACCGTGAGATCATGACCTGAGCCGAAATCAAGAGTTGGAAGCTTAACTGACTGAGCCACCCAGGTGCCCCACATAGATTTTTTTTTTTT